TGGGCTTTTTTTCTGGCTATCATTAGCATCAATGCCCTGCTTGGTAATTTTACTATCTAGCACCCTAGGGAGCCATGACCATATTGCTTCTGACATATTCTGCCCTCCCTGAATTAGCAACTATGATCCAAAGGGAAAATGCTCCCCAAGGCTTTTTTGCCAAATAGATAAAAGTATGCAATCGACTCAGGAAATTAGTTGGTTTCCTATTTTAGATTATTTGGTGAAGTGACTCACTGAAAATCTGGAAGCTACTGGAAACACAATCAGCAGAAGAGCCTCCCATGGGCTTCGGCCTATATTTCCTGAGTTTTGCCCTTTGACTGGAGACAAGAATGTTCACTCCTTAACTCTAGCCTCTATTTCAAGGGGAAAAATATATTTTGAGAAATGGCAGAGACATGGACTGACAGGTGCTTGTAAATCCAGCAGTGACAGCAGCAAGGAGCAAATCTGGGAGATGTGGCAGAGTGTGGGAGAACTCAGTTATAGGGCCCAGAGACAGCACTGATGTATTTATTTATCCTAAAGCTTAGTTTCTGTCATGAACTGTGTTATGTTTAGACTATTTGAGCTCAAAAAATTGGTAGTTTTTACCTTAGGAAATTAAGCCCCAGCTGGGCGCAGTGGCTCATGCCTGTAATCCCAGCACTTTGGGAGACCGAGGTGGGCAGATCACCTGAGATCAGGAGTTCGAGACCAGCCTGGCCAACATGGTGAAACCCAGTCTCTACTAAAAATACAAAAATTAGCCAGGCATAGTGGCGCATGCCTGTAATTCCAGCTACTCCGGAGGCTGAGGCAGGAGAATCACTTGAGCCCAGGAGGCGGAGGTTGCAGTGAGCCAAGATCACGCCACTGCACTCTAGCCAGGTGACAGAGTGAGATTTTGTCAAAGAAAGAAAGGAAAGAAAGGAAGGAAAGGAAGGAAGGGAGGGAGGGAGGGGGAGAGAGAGAGAGAGAGAGAGGAAAGAAAGAAAGGAAGAAGGTAAGAGAAAGAAAGGAAGGAAGGAAGGAAAGAAAAGAAAAGAAAAGAAAAGAACAAAACAAAAGAAAAGAAAGGGAGGGAAAGAAGGAAAGAAAGAAAGAAACCCCCAGTGGAGGAAACATAGAAAGCATATTTTGATGGGGCATTATGAGAGATATGTGTATGTCACTATAAGGGGATATGGAAAACAAACACAAATTGGATGATGGAGGTCAATAACTTCTGAGACGTAGTTATGCTTGAGTGACGTCTTGAAATCTGAGTAGTAGGTAGACAGATAATACAAAATAATAAATTTTGTGAAAATACATGTAAAAGTAAAGAGGCATGAAACAATGTGTTTTATTGGAAAAAGAAGTACTTTGGTAGAATTTTATTTTTTAGTGTAATGGCTGAATCAAATGGTAGACCTACTTTTTGGTCTTCTATTATTATTATACTTTAAGTTCTGGGGTACCTGTGCAGAGCATGCAGGATCATTACATAGGTATACTTGTGCAATCGTGGTGGTTTGCTACATCCATCATTCCGTCATCTACATTAGGCATTTCTCCTAATGCTATCCCTCCCCTATCCCCCCAACCCCTGCTATTCCTCCCCTAGCCCCCCAGCCCTCAGGCCTCAGTGTGTGATGTTCCTCTCCCTGTGTCCATGTGTTCTCATTGTTCAACTCACATGAGTGAGAACATGTGGTGTTTGGTTTTCTATTCTTGTATCAGTTTGCTGAGAATGATGGTTTCCAGTTTCATCCATGCCCCCGCAAAGGACATAAACTCATCCTTTTATATGGCTGAATAGTATTCCATGGTGTATATGTGCCACATTTTCCTTATCCAGTCTATTATTGATGAGGATTTGGGTTAATTCCAAGTCTTTGCTATTGTGATCAGTGCTGCAATAAACATATGTGTGCATGTGTCTTTATAATAGAATAATTTATAATCCTTTGGGTATATATCCAGTAATGGGATTGCTGGGTCAAATGGAATTTCTATTTCTAGATCCTGGAGGAATTGCCACTCTGTCTTCCACAATGGTTGAACTAATTTACACTCCAACCAACAGTGTAAAAGCGTTCCTATTTCTCCACATCCTCTCCAGCATCTGTTGTCTCCTGATTTTTTTAATGATCGCCATTCTAACTGGTGTGAGATGGTATCTCGATGTGGTTTTGATTTGCATTTTTCAAACGACTAGTGATGATGAGCTTTTTTTCATATGTTTGTTGGTTGCATACTGTCAATACTAGACAGATTAATGAGACAGAAAATTAACAAGGATATCCAGGACTTGTACTCAGATCTGGACCAAGCATACCTAATAGACATCTACAGAAATCACCCCAAAACTACCGTATATATGTTCTTCTCAGCACCGCATCGCACTTACTTTAAAATTGATGATGTAATTGGAAGTAAAACACTCCTCATCAAATGCAAAAGAATGGAAATCATAACAAACAGCCTCTCAGATCACAGTGCAATCAAATTAGAACTCAGGATTAAGAAATTCATGCAAAACTGCACAACTGCATGGAAAGTAAACAACCTGCTCCTAAATGACTACTAGTTAAATAATGAAATGAAGGCAGAAATAAAGGTGTTCTTCGGAACCAGTGAGAACGAAGACACAATGTACCAGAATCTCTGGGACATATTTAAAGCAGTGTCTAGAGGGAAATTTATAACACTCAATGCCAACAGAGAAGCCAGGAAAGATATAAAAATCAACACCCTAATGTCACAGTTAAAAGAACTAGAGGAGCAAGATCAAACAAATTCAAAAGCTAGCAGAAGGCAAGAAATAACTAAGATCAGAGCAGAACTGAAGAAGATAGAGACACAAAAAGATCCCTTCAAAAAATCAGTCAGTCTAGGAGCTGGTTTTAGGGTAGAATTTTTAACAAATACTTAACATGTACCTTCAAATCTGTCAGGAACTATTGAAAGTTTTATAATATGGGACGTTATTTAATTAGATCTTTATTTTAGAATGATGGTGATGACAATGATAATAAAAATCAACATTAAAATAGTTCTCAGTATATGCCAGACAACTGTTTTAAGTGTTGACACATATTTTCTAATTTAACAATCACAACAACCCTAAGACTTTCCTGGCAGCAGTGTGAAGAACGGATTGGGGACCGCAGTACTTGAAGTTTTTGCAGTAATCCAGAGAAGACAGGATGATCCTGTAAAAATAGGGGAAAAAATGTGATTGAGGACCTTTTAGCCAGTGGAATCTATAAGACACAATGGGTGGTATGACTATTTTAAAAAAAAAAAGTGGTGAAGGAGACTTCCATATGCTTGGTTTGGTTGCTAGGATGGATGGAGTTAATATTCACCAAGATAAGTCGGGAAGGTGTCAGAGCAAGACTAGGGGGGACATAAAATTGCAGGACTGTCATGGCCATTCATAAAACAGATATTTCTGTTATGCCAGGCACCATACAAGGAACTGGATCAACAAAGCTGTATCTGATACATAAACCCACGCTGTCAGTAAATTCAAATTCATTGCAGAGAGAAAGCAGAAAAAGCATTTATGCCCCAAAATCTCAGGCAACAGAAACAAAAATAGACAAATGGGATTATATCAAACCAAAGAACTTCTTCCCAGAAAACGTGACAATCAAAAGAACAAAGAGCCTATGGAAAGAGAGAAAATATTTGCAAATCGTGTATTGATAAGGGGTTAACATTCATAATATGTAAAGAACTTTAAAAACTCAATAGAAAAATAATAATTAACCCAATTATAAATGAACAAAGAATCTGAATAGATATTTCTCAAGATATATAAATGTACAGCAGGTACATGAAAAAATGCTCCACCCCACTATTCATCAGAAAATGCAAATTAAAACCATAATGAGATATTGCCTCACACCTGTTAGAAAGGCTATTATCAAAAAGACAAAAGATAAGGCCGGGCGCGGTGGCTCAAGCTTGTAATCCCAGCACTGTGGGAGGCCGAGGCGCGTGGATCACGAGGTCAAGAGATCGAGACCATCCTGGTCAACATGGTGAAACCCCGTCTCTACTAAAAATACAAAAAATTAGCTGGGCATGGTGGCATGTGCCTGTAATCCCAGCGACTCAGGAGGCTGGGGCAGGAGAATTGCCTGAACCCGGGAGGCAGAGGTTGCGGTGAGCCGAGATCGCGCCATTGCACTCCAGCCTGGGTAACAAGAGTGAAACTCCGTCTCAAAAAAAAAAAAAAAAGACAAAAGATAAAAAAGTGTTAGGGAGGTTTTGGAGAAAGAGGAACCCCTATACACTGTTGGCAGTTGTAAATTAATACAACCAATATGGAAATCAGTAAGAGGGTTCCTCAAAAAACTGAAAATAGAACTACCATGTGTTCTTATAATTTTGATATACTTGATGTATAAAATAAGAATGTCAAAGAGATATCTGCACTCCTATTGTTTATGTAGCATTATTTACAATAGTCGAGGTGTGGAATCAACCTAAGTGTCTAATAATGGACAAATGTATTAGGTTGGTGCAAAAGTTATTGCAGTTTTTGCCATTGAAACAAGTTATCTAGAAAAACATAATTACATAATTGCTTTTGCATCAACCTAATATAAGAAAATGTGGCATATATACATAATTAAATATGATTCAGCTATATAAAGAAAGAAGTACTGTTATTTGCAATAACATGGATGTACGTAGATGATATTATGCTAAGTGAAATAAACCAGGCACAGAAAGACAAACACCACATGACCTCACGCATATGTGGAATCTAAAAAAGTCAAACTCATAAAAGCAGAGAGTAGAATGGTGGTTACCGGAGGCTGAAATGAGGTGAGGGGCTGAGGGGAGAGTTTTGAAGATGTTTGTCAAAGAGTACAAAATTTCAGTTAGGAGAAATAATTTTAAAATCTCTATTGCATATAATGGTGACTATAGTTAATAATAATGTACTATGTACTTGAAAATGGCTAACGGTAGACTGTAAGTGTTCTCACCACAAACAAATAAGTACATGAGCTAAAGGTATGTGTTAATTAACTTTATTTAGTCATTCTACAATACCTATGTATATCAAAATATCATGCTATACATCATAAATATATATAATTTTTATTTGTCAATTAAGAACCATTTTATAAAAAGCATTTATACAGGGCTTCTTTGCTTGTCTTCAGCTCACCCAGTTCTTGCTTCAGGGGTTTTGCACACATTGCTTCTTCTGTCTAAAAGCATCTCCCAAAATAACCCCCTTTACTTGATGACTTTTACTTACCATTCAGGTTACATACAAGGTAAGTGTCAGTTTCTCTGGGAAACCAACCCTACACGATTCAATCTAAATTTGGTTTATCTTAGTATTCTCTCCTCTATCCCCTGAATGCACCTTTTCTTCAGAGAATAAACTTAAACTGGTAAAGTATTTTCCTTCATTTTTCTGTTTACTGGGACTGTCTTGAACCAGACAATAAGGTCTATGAGGGCAGAGACCACATTTATTTTGTTCATCATTTATTTCCAGTAGCTTTAAAACAGTAGCTAGTACATATTAGGAAATGAATAAATATTTGTTGAAATTATACAAGATACAATAAAAATAAGTCCTCATTGTGGTAGAGCCTAATCTCATCAGTCGGGTGCAGCAGGCAGACAAGGGAGCGCTTAGAGGAAAGCAAGATAGCTGGGATGCTCTTGAGATATGAGAGCAAGTATTAAATTAAGTAAAGGAGATGAGCTAAAGAGAATAACCAACACATGAGAACACAGAATATTGTCACTTTTGAAACAAGCAAATAGTTGGTTAGCTTCAGAACGTACAAGAAGGCATATAGAAAACAGACAAAATTAGAAACGATAATACTGGAGAGATAGGCAGAAACTAGATGATAGATCTGTGATAATGAAGGATTCTTGGCATTATCTTGTGTGGCAAGGGGAGTCACTGGAGGGTTTTTCATGGGTTCTTTGATCATTCTAGGACTCTGGCCCTCTAGTAACATTAACTCAAGCCTTTTGCTTGGAATTAACTTGAGATATTTCAGCAAGTAGGCAATGCTTGTAGCTTCCTTGAAGAGAGCAAATTAATATGGTGGTTCAGGAATAAATGTGGGGACTAAGACAAACTAGTATGTGAAGGACATGCATTTGCATCAAGAGAACCATGAAGTGGTTCCACCTCAAAGAAAGGAAGAACAAAACAACTCCAAGTAAAGGCAAAGACATTTCAACATGTAGGTTAAGGAAATGAGTCGGGGACAAAAAGGACCGCCAAGTTTTCTAGCAGGATGTGTGGAAACAAAGTTATCTCGAGTCTTTAGAAAAAGGAAAGTAAGGATAGATGGATTTCCTGGTCTTTTCCTTTTTTTGGATACATCTTTGCTGTCTTGATGTATCCAAGCTGTCTACTTCAAGACATAGCTCTCATAAGTTTGGATGCATCTTTGCTCTCATATTAGTTTTTGAATTTGCAATCTTTAAAGCAGTAAAATATAATTAAATTTATTATGGAACTGAGGGCTCTGTTCCCATATCTGATTAGTCTTGTTAAAGTATCATGGACAGTGGAAAGCCAGACTGTCTTAACTTCTGTGAGCCTCATTCTTCTCATATGTGAAATGTTCTTACATTACAGCACAGTTGGACAATTAAATGAGAAAATGTATAAAAGCACACATTTTTCCTGGCATGTACTAGGCATTAGTAGTTTTAAAAAATGGCTCTTTAGTTAAGAGAATATAAAGTTTGGCCAATTGTCCTTCGTAGGGCTGATTTGAATTCCTTATTTCTCAGACTATAAATCACTGGATTGAACAATGGGGTAAGGATGGTATATGATACAGATATTAGGGTGTCTTGGCCTAAAGAGTAATTGGTCTTGGGCCTTAAGTAGATGAAAGAGGCACAACCATAGTGAACAGTTACAACAATAAGATGGGAGGCACAGGTGGAGAAGGTCTTGTATCTCCCAACGGAAGAAGGGATTTTCAGAATCGCAGAGATGATGCGGACATAGGAGACTAGAATAAGTAGCAGAGGAATAACCAAGACAAATACACCAAGCATAAATATGACCAGCTGACTGAGGCCAGAGTGCTGAGATGCCAGTTTAAGGACAGGGGAGATGTCACAGAAGAAGTGATGGAGCTGATTTGAGGAGTGGAAGGGCAGATGAAATACCAGGGAAGTGGTGACCAAGGAGACAGTGAAACCACAGGCACAGGCAGCAGCCACTAGTCCCATACACACCCCACGTCCCATGAGCACTGTGTAGCGTAGTGGGTTACAGATAGCCATGTAGCGATCATAGCCCATGGCTGCCAGCAGGAAGGAGTGAGAACAGCCAAGGAAGAGGAAGGAAAACATTTGGATGGCACAGCCCATGAAAGAAATGATTTTCTTCTGGGCCAGCAGGTCAACCAGCATCTTGGGTACAATGACGAAGGTGTAGCAAGTCTCAGAGCAGGAGAGGATGGCAAGGAAGAAGTACATGGGGGTGTGAAGGGCTCTGTCCAGCACAATGGTGGAAAGGATGATTGCATTGGTGCCCAGAGTGAACAGGTAGAGGAGCAGGAAGGTAACAAAGAGCAACTGCTGCAGCCTGGCCAGGGATGAGAAGCCGAGGAAGATGAACTCTCTCACCACAGTCTCATTGACCTGCTCCATGGAAAGTACTTCTATATAAGAGAGTCAGGGACAGAGGTAGAAGCCAGGATCCAGAAAGGAGAGCAAAAATGTACGGGAAATTTCACACCAAGTTTGCAGGTGGCAGGCATTTCCAGATATTTGGTGGGATTCTTCATTCCCTCATTAAAATGCCTGCTAAAAGAAGAATTGGGTGAAATAGGCAAAAGAATAACTGACAACCAGTTTGGAGACCTTTTCTAATGTGAAGAACAGGTTACCTCTCTGTCTAAGAGTTAGGAAATTTGCTAATAGTTTTCCTTCTTTTCTTTCTTATATAATATGTAGATTATTGTTTTTCTCGTTCACTGTAAACCCAAGGCAACTCACCTTCCAAAGTGAAAAATGTTAACTTCAGCTACCTGAAGCTGATCAGAATATAGAATGAAAGAATGAATAATGTTAAGACATAATCATGTGGACATCAGTTTATCCAACCATAAAATGAGAAAGGAGAGAAAGTATTTGATGATCTTGAAGTAAAGGTGTGAGGACACATGCATTTATTGGGAATTTTTTTATATCTCCAAGAAAAGGAAAAGAAATACTATTGGAAGTTCCACAAGTTGAAACATTGAGTCAAGAGTGAAACAAAAAATAACATTAACCGGAAGCGGTGGCTCACAGCTGTAATCCCAGCACTTTGGGAAGCCAAGGTGGATGGATTGCTTGAGGCCAGGGGTTTGAGACCAGCCTGGGCAACATGGCAAAACCTCATCTTTACTAAAAATGCAAAAATTAGCCAGGTACGGCAGCACATGCCTATAATCCCAGCTACTCGGGAGGCTGAGACATTAGAATTACTTGTGTCCGGGAGGCGGAGGTTGCAGTGAGCTAAGATTGCGTCACTGCGCTCCAGACTGGGTAACAGAGTGACAATCTGTCTCAAAAACTAAATAAATAAATAACAGTACAATAGCATAAAGAAAAAAATTCTTTTTTCAGGAAGAGAACAATCACTAGGGTATTAAAGAGAGATGATTGACTTTGTGGCATTTGCCAACACGCTTCACTTTTCCATGCTGAGATACATGGAGAAACTCAGAGAAAAAGAAGAGTTTTGCAGAAATAACAGAGCTTGCCACAGGGTGTGGGCAAGAATGGCACACTTGGGAATTTGGCCAGTTTTCCCTACCCTGCTGTAAACCTTAGGCTTTGTATCTTTTATATATTGTTATGTTAATAAGATTTCATTTGAACATTCTGCCACTAAAAATACTTTGCAAACTGCTATAACAAATTATTTCTAAAGTCATCTTAGTCCTAATTTTTTCATGGGAACATTTTTCAATAACCCATCCAAATAAGTAAAGGAAGTGCTATCTGGATAGAAAATCACCCAGTATGTATTTTTGGTATCCAGCCTTCATTTATATACTTCTGAAGCTACTATATCATTTTGTGTTGGGAAATTATTGCCATCTACTACCAGAATTTTGTTGTTGTTACTTCTGCATTTTTCTAGTCAAGAGCAACTTTTTTTGTTTTCTGAACCCTAAGTTAATTCAGCAGGCATTCCTGAAATTCATTATATCTATTCACAGAATTTGGAAATGATGTTTTTTCTTTCTTATTAGAAACTCTTTCTAAACTTAGTTGACATAATTACTTATTTTAATAATGTTAGTATAACTATAAAGATATCACTATCATATATAAACATAGAAAAAGTAAATACAATATATACCTCCATTTATATTTGTATGTATGAGTGTGTGTGTGTATTAGTTATATGTTTTTATATACAGAAGGGTAAAAGTTTCCCTATATAATACCTCCTTCTCAGAAAATGAATTCCTGTATTTTCAAAACAGTGAGGAAATCTAAACTTATGGTCATTGTTTTGCCTTTCCTCATCACTTTTCCAAAAGACTTTGATTTGAATCTTCTTTCAACTAATCAACCTCTAACTACCACTAGGCCCTCACTCAACTGAATATGATGTAGAATGTAGACCACGGAAGCTAGAATTATCTGATTCTGAAGGACTACCTGTATCTAACCAATACCAAAGAGAATTGTTTAGATTATTTTTTGCTCAGGCACATGAGGCCAGCTGATTCTAGTCCAGTGGATTTTTACATAGTATTAATATAAATCCACAGCCTAGATGAATCGTGTGAGTGATATAATTGTGTTTTTATGATTTATGGATTCAGCTCCATGGTGCATCTGAGAAGGCAGCTTCTATCTGCTTAGGAGGCCATTAGAGACCACCACCGTGTGTTGTCATCTGTACTGATAGAAAGACATAAGACCAGGAAAATAAAAATTCTCATACTGACAAATACCTTCAAGCTATAAAATGAAGATGAAAGATCTTCAGTATGATGTGAAAAGATTTAGGTTTCAGGTCTAGTTTTGTGTGACTTTAGATGAGGTACCTAAATTCAATATTTAGATTTTTTTAATTAGATAGCATAAACAATAATGGAATAAACTGCTGGGATACATGGAAGGCACTAAAGCAGAGGATCCCTGAACATTTTACAAAGGAATTTTGACTAAGATAGTAGGCAAGTACTATGACCCCTAGGAACCTTTCCTGCTCAGAGGATCAAAGATTCTAGTTAGATGATCTCAAAATCCCCTTAATTGTGATATTTTAGAACCTATGAGTAGAATTCAGGCTATGATCCTTGGAGATCGTGCTTCAGTATTTAATTTTTCTAATTCCTCAGATGTTCCACTGGGATTTTATGTAATCTGGGTTTAAATAGAGACATAATATTTGAAGTTGCTGTGTTCCCCCCAGAAGAAATACAAATATTTATTTTAAGGAAAACATCCATCAATTAACTGGGAGAAATTATGTAGGCAGCTTCAGATAGTAAAGGAGTAGAATTTTTAACTTCTTAGATACAAATAAAAATCTTTAATTTCTCCAGGTTGCCATATTAAAATGGAGTTTAAATACTAGAATTCAATTATAGCTAAAAGCATACATCCAGGAATACACAGCAGAAAGAGAAGTCGAAAAGTGAGAGAAGAGAGTGGAGTATCTGTTTCATTTAATCCGTGAGTTCACCAATGAATGAAAAAGAGTAGAAAAGGAAGGGAGGGAGGGAGGGAGAGAGGCAGGGAGGGAGGGAAGGAAGGAAGAAAATGAAATCCAGCTAGGAGTGAGAATAACCCAATATGATCATCGAGAACAATTCAGATATTTTTTTTTCAGATGGAGCTTCGCTCTTGTTGCCCAGGCTAGAGTGCAATGGCACAGTCTTGGCTCACTGCAACCTTCATCTCTGGGGTTAAAGTGATTCTCCTGCCTCAGCCTCTTGAGCAGCTGGGTTTACAGATGCCCATAACCATGCCAGTCTAATTTTTGTATTTTTAGTAGAGACAACATTTCACCATGTTGGCCAGGCTGGTCTCAAACTTCTGACCTCAGGTGACTCACCTGCCTCGGCCTCCCAAAGTGTTGGGCAAAGTGTTGGGACTACAGGCATGAGCCACCATAACCCCAGCCAAATTCTGAGAATTATAAAGGTCATTCTCAGTCACTCTTAGTACCTACAGTGAAAGGTAGCCTTTGATTCTCCTTTTTAACTCTGCCGCTTACCAGTAATGTCATCACTGATCTCCATGGGGGACACAAAGAGAGGCTTTTTCAAACACTACTCATCATTCAAGTCCAGGCCCCACAGAACCCCAAACTAGGTCAATGTTCCCACTGCTCAGTAAGTACTTACATTGCTTTCTCCCTTCCAATTTAGAGAGAAACAGCTATTCAGTTTTTGGGGTCTCCTGACAAGTAGCATCAGAGCCACAGAGCAGAGCCTGAGGAAATAACAGCAGAAGAGAGGGAAGCTGCCTTGAGATAGAAACTCTCATCTGCATCAACAGAGCCTCATCTATCCATCAGGATTCCCCAGTTCTCCAGATAAATCTCCATCTTTAGAAGTTCTGATGACCAACATGGGCTGTGGTTATTAGAAGCATGCACTGTAATCACTTGCCTCCTGAGGCTGGATCTACTGCTTTGGAGGCGTTGTCTTGAGGTTAATTAGAAGTCAAGTTTATTTTGGAAAAAATAATGTCATCAGTTTCTCAAAGGTGGCCTCAGTTGAGGAGCCTGGGGAGTTGAAGCCATGACCATAATTAGCCCATGTATGCTTTGAAAGTTGAGTCCATCTGTGATGGATTCTGAAGGAGAGCCCACCACAATTAAGACTGTAATGCAGCAGACCAAGTGGAAAATTTTTACTAAATTTTAAATCAGAAGATTGATGAATTTATCCAATGACACTCAACTTTAGAAGTTTCTAAGAATCAAAAGAGGGCTGAATTACAAATTTATTTTCCAGGCCCCTGCCCCCAGAAACCCTAATTAAGAACATGAAGATGTTTGGCGAAAACCTAAAATTTTAGTAAATATATCAAATCTAGCTAAGCTCTATCATCAAATGATGTGTTATGTTATGAATGTATTTTACCAGAATGACGAAATAATATAGAATTGTAAGTTTTATTCAAGTTAATCTATAAAGCCAATATAATTCCAACCCAAATCCTGCATGCATTTTGAAATTACCCTGACAATCAGATTTCCAAGATTTACATGAAAACATAAAACAATTTTGTAAATGGCAAGTAACATAGGCACTGACTCTTCCCAGTAAAACTGTGCTTTAGTAATAACAAAGAGCATGCTATTGGTGCAGGAAGAAATAAGTAGTATAGCAACAGAAAGGAGAGCTCAGAAATTAATGTATGTGCATTTGAGAACTTGGTCTTTGGGGGAAATGACCTTACAAGTCAGTGAGATAATTATAATTACTTACTAAATAATACTGGGAAAGCTCTGTGTACTCCACCACTCAGAAGGAGGTGACCTGGTACAATATGAAATGGTTTACTTAAGGCCCAGTTACTGCACTGGCTCTGTGCCAACACCTAATAGAGCCCCATGTGTCTGCCAAAGCAGAATAGACTCTGAACCAGCAGCCAAAGGATTGTGTCCATTCTCTAATAACAAAAACATATGTCTGAGAACCAGTGTGAGGGGAGATGAAATGATTCCTTCTGGTATTACTCCTAATGACTTACATGCAAAAGTTTGAGCTTTGTGAAATAATATCTTTAAGAACATCAGAACTTCTAAAGATGGTGACTTATCTGGAGAACTGGGGAGTCCTGATGGATAGAGGAGGCTCTGTTGATGCAGACGAGAAACACAAAAATGGAAAATTGAGATGGCCCCTTAGCCACCTCAGTCTACTTTGTCTTTCTGTTCCAGTAATCTCCAGACAAAAATGAATCTTAGTATTTTAAAGAAAAATAGGGCATTGCCACTACACTACCAAGGCAGAAAAGAGTATGTCTAGAATCTAGATGTTCTAGGACATTTTTTATTACTTCA